CGGGAGGGTGAGGAGGAGGGTGACTGCTGACCGACTCCCAGGCCGGTGACTTTCCCACTGCACCACTGTGTCTCCTGAGATCCTGTAAGAGGGCACCTATTCTGGGCTTTGGAACCTTAAGGAATTCACTGGGCGTGTGTCAGACACCGGGATAGGACCTCCTAAAACGAACCAACCTAAAATAATCCTTATGCCAAGGAGACTTGAGTTGGGGTGACAGACTCCGTTCCCCTGCAGCTCCTAGGTTATAAGCCTGTGCAGCATGTTACCGGACTGAATACCGTGGGCCATGGAACACGATGGTACGTATTTGTGTAATACTCACACATTCCTGGGGTGGGATGGCGGTCAGATGTGTGGTCCTGTGATGACTGCCGTGTTGTTATACGGCCCATGACTGTATTCGGGCTTCTGTTAAGAATAGAGAAAATTCGGCCTCCCAGCGCCCAGATGAGGTCAGAGTTATGGCCGGCCGTCCTTGGGGCTCTGCCTTTGACCCTGAGGAGAGGAAAGGAATAAATTACCCGCTGCATAGTCTCCTGCTGCTGCTGTAACAATTACCCCAAACTTGGTGGCTTCAAACAACACGTGTGTTATCTTACGGTTCCAGAGGTCAGGACTCCAAATGGGTCTCCTTGGGCTAAAATCAGAGTCGGCAGGCGTGCGTTTCTTCCGGAAGCTCTAGGGGGAGGATCCATATGTTGCCTTTTCCCACGTCCAGCGGCAGCCTGCATTCCCTGGCTCGCGGACCCTTTCCATCGCAAAAGCTATCCACAACTGAGTGCTTTTCATGCTGCCGTCTCTCTGGTTCTGACTCTCCCACCTTCTTCTTGGCTCATTTAGGGACCTTTGAGATTCCAGGGGCTACTTGGGTAATCCAGGATAGTCTCCCACCTCAAGGTCAATCAATTAACAACCTTCATTCTCCCTTCTCGTGTGACATAACATAGTCACAGGTTGCAGGGACCAGGACACAAACATCTCTGGGAGCCCTTATTCTACTTCCCACATGCAGCTGTCCACATGCAGAAGTGGGCAGGGGCTGGGGATGTGAGCCGCATCCTTCCACACCCACTGTGGCACCGAGTGGGGCTCAGCTCGCAGCCAGGGCTGTTCCTGTTCTGAGAAAACCCTGGTTGGGCAGAGAGCTGGAGGAGGGTGGGCACTTTTCAGTCACCCTGCAGCCGTGTGACTGGTAGGAAGGAGGGGAGATTGTAGAAACCCTTTGGCTCGACTCTGTTAGATTCCTCATGTCCCTAAATGTCCATAAGAAGGAGGCGGAGGAGGAGAGAGAAACATCCATGTGAAAGAGACACATTGACTGGTTGCCTCCCGCAAGTGCCCTGACTGGGGCTGGGGATCAAACCTGCAACTGAGGTACATGACCTTGGCCAGGAATCAAAGCCGGGACCCTTAGGTCTGAGGGCCAGTGCTCTAACCACTGAGAAAACATGGCCAGGGCTGTCCATCACTTTTTCACTTAAAGCGTCTGAGATACACCTGCCCAGGTAGGAGTGAGGGCAGCCTCCAGACAAAGAGTAACCACAGAACGTTGTTGAGAGGAGGGGACCCCGCCCTCCAGGCCATAGCGGCCATCCCTCCTGGGTAGCCAGGGGTAAACTCTGCTGGCCTCTCCTCTCCCACCCCCATCCCTCCATCTCTAGGTCTTGCCCCATTTCCCTCTGGAGCCGTTGTTCTCCCGTCCACCTCTTCCTCCCACCTGCCTCGTCCCCCTCACGGAATGTGAGCCTCAACTCAAACATGGAAGTCCAAGCCCTCCAGAAGCGGAGGAGGCGCAGGTGGGCAACGGGACAGACCAGGCACTGGGCCTCCAGGATATCATGGCAAATTGTGATTGTCTCCATTTCAAGAAGGAAAACAACTGGGGGGGGGGGCGTTGCGAGAGGGGGTGACAGGCAGGCTTATGTGGATCAGGTGCCAGGTAGGCTGTGTGGCTCAATGAGGACAGTGAAGGGGAGTGTGTGAGAGATGCCATCAGAGAAGGGCACCCACTGAATGAGCCGCAGCCAGGGGTGTGAATTTTGTTCTACGTGCACTGAGAGCCACTGCAGAATTTTAAGCTCAAAATTTTAAGTTTCTTTTAAAAAATTAATCCAGTTATTTTAAGATAAAAATTTCAATTATAGCCCTAACCGATTTGGCTCAGTGGATAGAGCGTCGGCCTGCGGACTGAAAGGTCCCAGGTTCGATTCCGGTCAAGGGCATGTACCTTGGTTGCGTGCCATCCCCCGTGGGGGGTGTGCAGGAGGTAGCTGATTGATGTTTCTCTCTCATTGATGTTTCTAACTCTCTATCCCTCTCCTTTCCTCTCTGTAAAAAATCTCTGTGACCTTTATCCTCAGATTATGTAAACAGTTCTCTTGTTGTTCTTTATAGTTTTCCCATATATGGACTTCTTCCCATACACTATACAACTTCATGTTGCCTGGTGTTGGACCACATACAAATGGCATCATACTGTGGCTGTTTTTTTCTGTGACCTGCTTCTTTTACTCACTGTCATGTCATCACATTGGTGCAAGCAGCTGCGGCTCATTTGTTTTCACTGCTACGGTCAGAGCACATACTGGTTTTGTAGGGCCTAAAGTTTCTACAATTTGGGGGGTCCTTTTAAAAATATGTAAAATTTAATAGAATATTAGGTAAAGACTAAATTTATATTTAGAAGGAGAAGAGAACTCACAAGTTGTAGATTTTTTTAAAAACTGGTAAATATCACAAGCATCAGGAAATCCAGAAATATATTATTTTTACTAATTAACTGATCCTCGTGACTAGGGTCCCTCACAGAGCCTTACCAGGGACTTGGTAAAAACTGGTAAATATCACACGCATCAGGAAATCCAGAAATATATGATTTTTACTAATTAACTGTCTGATCCTCATGACTAGGGTCCCTCACAGAGCCTTACCAGGGACTTGGGGATCCCTCTCAGGGCCTTGCAAGGGGTTTGGGCAAGGGAAGGACCCTAAAACTTCAGTGAGAGCAACTTCACAGTGAATCTATCCCAGAATGTGGTCCCACTGTAGGAAGAGGCCACAGTTTGTCTCCATTCTACCTGTGTTAGAATGGCTCCCCTAGATGTCCATGCCCTAATTCCTGGAGCCTGTGAATCTGTTATGTTACATGACAGGAGGAATTACGGTAGCAGATGGGATCCAGGTTGCTGAGCTGGAGCTAGGAGACTCTCCCGGATTATCCAGGTGGCTCAACGTAGTCACAAAAGTCCTTAAATCCGGAAAGAGGAGGGGAAGAATCAGACCCAGAGAGATGGCAGCATGAGAGACTTGACCCACCATCTCTGGCTTTTAAGAGAGAAGGAATGCAGGCTGCCTCTGGAAATTGGAAAAGGCAAAGAACAGATCTTCCCCCAGAGCCTCCGAAGAAGCACACCCCTTCCAGCACCTTAATTCTAGCCCCTGAGACCCATTTTGGACTCGGGGCCTCCGGCACCATAAGGTAATGAACCCGTGTTGGAAGCCACCACGTTCGGGACGATGTGTTACTGCGGCCGTGGGAAGCTCATACACTGCCGTGTCGGTTGGATACTTGGGTGTTTCCAGTTTCTTGCTCTCCAGTGTTGCTGTGAGTTTTCAGCTGCACGGGTCCTGGTGCAAACAGGGAGGAGCTGCAGAAGGCGTGGCTTCCGCTTTACCAGGTCCTGCCTGTGCTTTTCACAGGCTGCCCTGTGCATGAGGGATTAGGGAAGGGCAGAAGCGGGGTGGCAAGACCCGGGGGGCCATCGCAGCTACGCTGATACTGAACTATGGAGAGGGCCGTGGAGGTGGGAAGAAGGGGGCAGGTTGAGGAATATTTAGGGGAACAAGTCCACAGGACTTGCTGAAGGCTTCATTGTTGGGGGTTTAGGGAGGAACCAGAAAGACTCCCCAAGTTCCTGGAGCAGAAGCAAGGAAGGGGTGGGACCCCGAGGTGGTGATGGCCAGGGAGTCTGGCTCCGGGACCCTTGTCGGTGGGCCTTCTCCTCCCCTGCCCTTACCGCAGGCTCTCCTGGTCCTTCCCCGCCTCCTGCTGAGGAAGCTGATCCCCCTGAAGCCCTTCATGGGTTGAGAATCTAACGATGGACAAACACTCCCGGGACAAAGGAATGAACACGCAGGCGACAGCTTCACAGTTAAACTTTAACTAGTTTAACTCAACTAAACTTTAGCTCATTCCTAAGATTTAAAGCAACAGAACACATCACGGAGACAAAGACGGGAGGTTTTGACCCTTAGCGATAGTTTAATCTCCAAATGTATAAGGGATGCTGAGAAAAGCGACCTACGAAAAATATGTGTGGAGGATCTCATTTTATAAAATAGAGAAATCCAAGAGCTCCCTACAGGGTATATAATAACAGTTCACATTTCCTGAGTAGTTACTGTGTGCCTGACACGGTGCTAGGTGTGGGCAGGTGACCCACGCTCAGAGCCAGAGGCTAGGCACTGTGGGGGGGGGAGGCAGACGCCATGTGTGGCTTGGGCTGGAAGTTTTGCTGGACCCACCCATTCTGGCAGCATTCCCACTTCAGGGAGCAAGGACCCAGCTCGTGGTGTGAAGGAGAGGGCTGTAACCCTGAGGCCTCTGGCAGGAGGCCTGGCCCTTGTGGAAGTGGGACTGGACTGGCCTCCTTTGCTGGAGGGAGCCCCTGGGATTCTCAGACTATTCTGGAAGAGACCTCAAGAGGGAGATGCTGGGCTTCGTACCAGTGAGTTCATGAGAGCGCATGAGAGGCTGGTTAAATAAACAAGCACAGGACACTGGGAGCTGCCCGTTCTCCAAGCTGGGCAAATGGGCCGTGTGTGTGTGTGTGTGTGTGTGTGTGTGTGTGTGTGTGTGTGTGTCCACACCACATTATTACTCACCGTTTTCTGTGAGACGTGGAATTGGGTCACGGCAGGCCTTATTTTTTATTTTATACCCTAAAAGCAGTAATTTCCAACCGGTGTGCTGCAAGAATTTTTAAAACATGCAATAGCTGACTAGTCAGGAGCACTGACCTCTTTTCCTTGGATTGTCAAATAAAAACATGACAACAGCCAACACAACAATAGCCGTCCGGTATGAATGAATGAAAATTATACCTATTATTTTGTCAGATCAGCAAAAAGTATAATATATTTTTTAGTGTGTCTCAGAATTTTAGTTATTAGTTTATGTGTGCCATGAGAGGAAAAAGGTTGAAGATCACTGCCTAAAACTGTTTTAATTTTATATACTAATATAATTTAATTATATACTAGTTTCAATTTATACATCAGTTTTAATTTTTAAAAAAATTTTTTTAGAGAGGAAGGGACTAATATAATTAATTATATACTAGTTTCAATTTATACATCAGTTTTAATTTTTAAAAAAATTTTTTTAGAGAGGAAGGGAAAGAGAGAGAAAAACATCAATTGTTTGCCTCCCATCTGCCCCTGGACAGGGGATTGAACCCGCAACCTTTTGGTATACGGGATGACACTCCAACAAACTGAGCCACCCAGCCAGGGTTCTTTCTTTTGTAATACAGAACGAACCTTTATAATGTCAAAAACATACATATGATGAAAGGCGAAAAATAAAATACAAAAATACCTTCAGAATAAATATGATGAATGGTAAATATCTTTTTTAAAATATATATTTTTAAGACAGGAAAGGAGAGGGAGAGAGAGATAGAAACATCAATGATGAGAGAATCATTGATCGGCTGCCTTCTGCACACCCCCTACTGGGGATCAACCCGGACATGTGCCCTTGACTGGAATCAAACCCGGGACCCTTCAGTCCACAGGCCAACGCTCTATCCACTGAGCCAAACCATCTAGGGCTGGACCTTTTAAAAAGACAGTATTGAAACAATTGAGGGCATTGGAATGTGGATTGTAAATTAGGTAATATTGTGCCAATGTTCCATTTCCAGTGGGTGCCCATTGGTCATGTGGGTGGACGTCCTTTTAAGAGGTGATGCTGGAGGATGCAGAGTGTCCGGATGTCTGCAGCACAACATTCACAAAATGTACGTGTTTAGACGGAGACAGAGCTGACAGGTCTGTGTATGTGTAGACACAGATGACAGTAGCACCAGAGAGAGAGCAGCGGTGGCAGAATGACAGCCATCGGTGAGCCTGGGCGAAGGACGCGTGGGTGCTTCTTGTCCTATATCCTTGCAGCTCGTCGGTAGATTTTAAATGTTCAGGGTAAGTTGGAGGAAAGGTATTCAAGGCCATTCTCAGCCCTGCACCCGAGAGGCAGGCGTGCCAGCCGGTGAGGCTGCCCTGGCTCCGGCCCCGTCCTTAGAGCCCCACCGCAGCGCCTCCAGCCTGGAGACCCCTTACAGGCCTGTCTAGGGGCCCCCGCCGCATGCCGCCTCCCCCACGCTGGTCCTACTCCAGCCCCCTGAACCCTGAGCCAGTCTTTTCCACTCAGCCCCTCATCCCACATCAGGCCCAATGAGGCCAGACCCTCCCCTGGTCCCAGACTTGGCACTCACACCGGGGCGGTGCCAGGAGACTGAGTCCCGGTGCTGGTTCTACCCGTGTCCCTGCTGGCCCGACTCTGGGACCGTTTTCTCACTACACGTGCCCACCCATCATCCCGAACACTCAGAGTTTGTCTTTTCCAGCATGGGCAGCAGTTGGACGGGCAGCTCCAACCAAGAAGGTCAGGAGTCCCCGGAGATGGGGGACCCCCAGGAGAGGCCCTGGAGCACCCCATCCTAATTCGAGGCCCCAACGCCCAAGGCACATGGAGGGGGTGTTTGTGTTTCTTTTTCCAATGTCGGGGCAAGCTGATTTCCTAACTTCGGACACGGGCACATGGAGGGGGTGTTTGTGTTTCTTTTTTCAAAAAGCAATAACACCCAATGTCGGGGCAAGCTGATTTCCTAACTTCGGACACGCACTCTGCTATAGAGTGGTCAGCTGAGCTTGACCTTGGGGCCGCTCATGTGAGCAACAGCCCGCCTGGAGGAGGAGATAAGGAGGGTCCCCAGGCGCAACACACAACAAAAAACAAGACCAGGGGCTCCAGGAAAAGAGGGCAAAGGACAGAGGTTGTGGCCCCTTCCCTCCGAGAGGCCTGACCCACAGCCCACCGACACTGATGGCCCCCAGGCTGCCCACGTCCTGGCTGCCAGGAGCAATGGCCTTCCTTGGCCCCAGTTTTTGGGAATAAAGGACAAAGCTTTCTAGACTCAAAGAATCCAGACTCATCAAAGGCAAGCTGAGCATTCTCACTTAGGTTAGAATCGTAGAATATAAAATATCAGAATCACCATCTCTTACAGCCGCAAAGTGCTGAGGCAAGTCCTACAGTACTTTCTACTCCGTGCACCACACTCTCAGAGGCACTCGCTGGTGCCCTGACCAGCCCCGAAGCCAAACGGCCTGGGAGCGGAGGCTGGGATGCCCGGGATGGTGAGGAGGCCTGCACACCAGGCCTGGCTGCTATCCGGCAAGGGCCATGCCCACCTGGGCCCAAACGCAGCTGCCATCACTCCCTGCAGGTGTTCAAAACGCGTTAGTGCTGGCTGGGAGCCCAGAGCGCCTCCCAGAGAGGAGCGGGCATAAACTCTGAGTCACCGTGGCCGCTTCAGAAAGGTTTGGGTTCCTTTAAACACACCTTAGAACAGTGATGGCGAACCTATGACACGCGTGTCAGAGGTGACACGCGAACTCATTCTTTTTGGTTGATTTTTCTTTGTTAAATGGCATTTAAATATATAAAATAAATATCAAAAATATAAGTCTTTGTTTTACTATGGTTGCAAATATCAAAAAATTTCTATATGTGACACGGCACCAGAGTTAAGTTAGGGTTTTTCAAAATGCTGACACGCCGAGCTCAAAAGGTTCGCCGTCACTGCCTTAGAAGGTAATGTAGGTGTGAGGAGCACCTAAATCTGCTGTGTGCCCTACAGTTGTTTGCTAACCCTCTCTGGGCCCATGAACTCTCTCCTATAAACTTAGGGTTTGGCTAGACCTCATCAACCCACTAGAAGCCCACAAAGTCTAGCATAGTGGCCAGGTCCACGCTCCACAGATCCATGGGGTCCGGGTTTCAATCCCAGCCCTACACTCATGGGCATGAGACGCTTGGCAACTGACCCTTCTGTGCCTCAAATTCCACCCCACCCCCCATAAACTGGGGGTAATAATGGCACCTACCTGATAGAGTTTTCATGAAGACTAAATGTGCACATACGTACATAGATATATGTGTATGTGACATGTACATGATGCATACATGAGAGTCTGACACGTAATCAGTGCAGTTTAACTATTAGCTGCTGTCATCACGGTTGGTATCTCAGACTCCGGGACAGAAATGATGTGTTTGCCCACAATAAGGCAGCAGAGACTCACAAGTGTGTGAAGCGTCTTTACTGCTGGCTACGATTTATGTCAATTCAGTGTGGGAGCAGTGGGTTTTCTCCCGCCGATCCACAGCTTTGGCTGGGAGTTCCATATGGCTTTGCTTAATTTTTTAAAATGTGGGAATCTCTTCTTCCTGGCTTGTTTGGGAGACCAGAAGTTTTAAAACATAGAAGAGGCCCACTGGTAGGAGTCTAGCCTAAGCAAACAACCAGAAATTCACACAAATATTTGTGTACAGGGATGTTCGCTGCAGCATTATTTTTTAAAAAATATATTTTATTGATTTTTTACAGAGAGGAAGGGGGAGGGATAGAGAGTTAGAAACATCGATGAGAGAGAAACATCGATCAGCTGCCTCCTGCACACCCCCTACTGG